GCCCTGGCCTGGGTGATGAGATGAAGAGATCTCCAGGTGTTATAAAAGGCAGAACTAGAGTTTCCATTCATTTTGCAAAGCAGTCAATTAAACCACTGTCCCTGCAAACCAGGTGAGACGTGCTAAACCCAATCCACCAGAAAAGCACAAGAGAGGAAGAAACCTCCCTTAGGATTATTCAAGCTGGATCCAGACAAGAGCCCAGGTGCCCAGGGACCTTTTCCCCAAACCTGTTTTAAGTGCCTGAACATGCTATTAACACTTGTTCCATATGCAGAGACAGCCAAGAACAAATGCAACTTCATGGCTTGGAGTCTGGAGGTCTCTAATATGCATTTAATGTCCAGTTCTGAAGTAGCTGAAAGTGCAACACAGGGCTGCTGCCTGTGCAATGGATTATTTAATCTGAGCAGTCCCCAAAAGAGGGGTGAATGCAGCATCTCTGCCTGTCCTTGGTGTGGGAATGTGGCTCTCCAGCAGATCAAATAAATCATGAGCATCTCACTTCATAAACAAACATCATAAGCCTGTTAAATGCTGCTGGGGAACAAAATGGAGCAGTTGAACCTCCAGCACTGACAGAAATGTCTTGTCCTCTAGTTTTGCTGGTTCGTGTGTGCAGTGCCTCCCCAAGGAGTAAGGCCACCCCACCTCCAGCAGCTGGTTTGGTTTGCAAGGAAGGTTTGGATGTGTCTGATGGATGCTGAGAGTCCTGGCAAGACTCTGCTTTCAGACTCAGGGATCTCTGACCTGTCCCCCAAAGTCCTGCTGTGTCTCTCCCACTCTTCTTTCTGGCAGGAAGAAAAGCAACATGTGAACTCCTCTCTCCCTTGAGAACATGAGGTAGGTCCTGTCCTGAAGACCAACAGACCAGATACCCCAGGTGGAAAGTTGCACAGCGGATGGACCCTTCATCAGCCTGTAAGTCTCCTGGGGCAGACAGGTAATACAGGTCCTGGTCCTGCAGCATCCAAAGAGTTCAAGGACAAGCCTAGGAAAGTCCTACAAAATGTGCATGAGTGGAAGGTGTCTTTCCTTGGCTGGATTTGTTTTTCAGCTCTCCTATGCAGCCAGATCACTGGAATCCCACACTGCCTGTTTGAGGTGGGACTCTGTGGCCACAAGCCCCAGGCCAGTGGCCACAGCCACCCTGCATCACAGTACCACTGTCCACCCATCACAGCTTTGCCCTCATGCAGGGGGAGATGAGGCCCAGATGAGCTTCTTCTTTCTCACTCAGGCTTTGTATTTATTCTTTCTTTCACCTGCCACAAAATGTAGCCAGGGAGAAAAATATATTTTTCTCTAACTGTGCAGGAGGGCATAAAAGAGTAGGGGAAGGCCAGCAGGTTTTACTTTTTTGTCCCATCAGATAATTCTGGGTTATGCACAAGATATGCTGGAATCACTTAGAAAAAAAATAACAAAAGCTGGGATTTCCAAATCCAGTTTCTGGGCCCAAGTGGCCAGTTCTGAATGCAATCTTGGGTCTCAGCTCCCAAAACATCTTAGTGCCTGCTTCCTCCTGAGGCCCCCCCCACACCTGGATCCCTTTGCCCCAAAGGTCTGGAGCACATGTGATGGCAATGGAATGGGAGTGTGGAGATGGAAGTAGAAGCCTTTGCCCAATTGACTCTTAGATGTGATGAACACAATGTATCTCTGTAAGGGACTGAAAGCTGCTCAGACCAGGACAGGCACACCCCAAATTATCCCATTGTATCAGCCGGCCTTCCTTGGGATCCCGGGCTAAAGGGTGTTTGCAACACCCAAGGGTGGAGAGAACAAGAGCCACAGTTTCCCAAGCCAGCTCTTCCAGACAGTGCAGGACCTTCCAGCACCCCTGTATCAAGCAGATGTACAAGCCAATGACCTGCCAAAATTATCTTAACGTGCCCCCCGTCACCCCCAGGACAATTGAAGTCCCTGGCTGGGAAGTGCAAGGCTGAAGGCGGGCACAGAATTAGGCAGCTTATTAAATTAATAGCACATTAAAGAGCTCAAGGGAGGTGGATGGGAGGGGAAAGGGAAAGAGAAGGTTTGTAACATCACAGAAATATCCTGGTTTACCTTCTGGCACCTTCAAGAGACTGGAGATGTGGGACTGCATCCAGCTGCCTTCTCTGGGGCAAAATTCCTTTGGCTTCTGTGGGAGGTTTTACCCAAATAAGGACTGCAGGATCAGACCTGTTATTGTCACTGCAATTAACATTTAGATCCACATCTAACGCGAACTGTTACAGGCTGGTTAGGGAGAAATTTAATTTGCTCTAAACAGCTTGATGGGAGAGGAGCGTGAAATGTCCTGGTTATGGTAATTTCATGTGTTGGAGTCTACAAAGGTGGATTTTCAGCCCTGGCTGTAATAACCCTGATATCTGCTGCAGCCATCAAGCTGAGTGTGCTTTGGGATGCTGGGTTTGGGGCCAGATCTCCACCTGGGTTTGGTGGTGGACACGCTCACAGCCCTAAAGGCCTTGGGCTGTTCCGACACCCACGACTGGAGTGCTGGGGTGGGACAGGCAGGTGAGGGCCCGGCTCTGCCCCCAGGTGTGTTTTCCCTTATCAGACACACGAGCTTTAGTTGTGTATCAGGAAACTGGTTGCTACCTTTGTGCTGTCAGAGTTCATGCACAGGTACCCACGAGATCTATGATTTTTGCCCCACAGACCCACGCTTAGAGACTTTGAACCTGCTTTTTCTAACAGCCCACGACTTTCTTTTATATCCTTACGTATTTCCTTTCTTTCCCTTCTCCCCCAGGAGTTAATGTAACTCAGCCTTAAAAACTGACTTGGAGATGAAACTTGGCATTTAAGGTCCCAGCCCGGGAGCAAATGAAGTTACCAGTTATAAACACACACCAAAATCTGTTTGGACATGCTGAAATTACAGGAGCAGAGGATAAAAAGGATCCAAGATGTTTTATTTTGTTTTAACTTCTGCAGCTCCGCCTGAGTGTCAGTTTGCAGCCACTTTCCTGACGCAAGATGGGTTCTTTTGGTATTTTTATTCTTCTGGTTGGAATGAAAACTTGATGGATTGCAACGCACCTGGCTGTGCCAGGGAAGAGGCACCAGGATCCTGGGGGGTTGCCAGCTGTGTACCCCTCATCCAACCATCTGCACACGGGTCTGCCCCAAAGGAAGGGCAGGGTCTGTCCCTGGCAGACACTCACAGAAGAGCTGTAGGAGAAATCCAGGTGTTAGGGCCTTTCCAGAGCCTCCCCTGTGTGGCTTTTGATACTCCAGTGACAGGGAGGAGATAGAGCGATAAGTGCACGCAGGTGATAGACAGGGATATGGCGATGGAAGATAAGAGGCTTCACTTTTATAGGAGGAGGTGATAGATTGCTAATATTTATGGCACGAGACGCTCTGCCAATTAAAGAATAAATCAGGGCAGATAAGGCCGGATCCACCGCACAGGGAGGTGATGGCTGGTGGTGGCATCACACCAGTGTCTGGGACGTGATGGGTGCCCTGACTCTCCCAGCTACCCCCTGATTTCCCCCTACCCCTCTCGCTGCAGGAGGGCTGTGCTCTGCACTGGGAGCTACCTGTGCCAGCAGAACCCCCCAGCAGCTGTCCCTGGTGTCATTCCAGCCTCCCTGAGTGACTGTGTTGCTCCCCACTGTGCGTGAGCAGCTGCAGCGTGGACCCAGCCTGCTTGTTATGCATGTTACAGCCACGGCGAGTGAGGGTCGATAGGATGTTTAATATGCTCCGTGCATAGTGGAGTCGCTTTGGTCCATCAAGTCACTAATACACATTCTTACAGGGCTGAGTATCATTTATTAAACCTGGAGGCCTGCCGGGGAGGGGGGGTCAGGGCTCTGGGAGGCAGCCAGCGGTGCTGCTGGGGTGGTACCCGCAGCGCTGAGGAGGTGAGAGTTTGCAGACGAACCGCACGCGCACAGAGAGTTATTTGTTGTGCCTCATTTATGGGAAATGAAATAAATCGTGCTTTGAGCGCTGGCCGCCGTGTGACACACCCCGGGGACGGGGGACAGGGCTGAGGGGCTCACTGGGCTGGGGACAGCTGAGATAGCTCAGCATCACTTGAGAAGCCCCCTCTTCTCCCCCTTCCCAAGGCTGCCACCACAGCACTACACACCTCCCTTTTTCCCTCTCTTTTTTCCTCTTTCCCCTTCTATTTTTCCCTCTCCTTCTTATCCCCTTTTTCCTTTTCCTCCCTTTTTCTTTTTTCCTCTTTTTCCTCCTCTCTTTTCTCCCTCTCCTTTCCCCTCCTTTTTCTATTTTCCCTATTCTTTTTTCTTCTCCTTTTTTTCCTCTCCTTTTTTTCCCCCCTCTCCTTCTCTCTTTTTCCCTCCTCTATTTTCCTCTCCTTTCCCCCTCTTCTTCTTTCCTCTCCTCCCTTCGCTCTCCTTTTTTCCTTTCCTTTTCCCCCCTCCTTCTTTCCTTTTCCCCTCTCTATTTCCCATCTCCTTTTCCCTCCTCTTCTTTTCCCCCTCTCCTTTTTTTTCTTCCCCCTCTTTCCCTTTATTTTCCCTCCCTCTCCCTTCTTTTTTATTTTTTTTTTTCCCCCCACTCTATTTTCTTCCCCATCACTTTAAGGCAAAAAAAAAAAAAAAAAGGCAGCAAAAAAAAAAAGGGAAAAAAATCAGAAAAAAAAAAAAAGAAAAAAAAAAAAGGGGGGAGGAAAAAAAAAAAAAAAGCCAACCAGCCGACCCCACACCAACCCGGCTGTCTCCGCTCCCCGCGGGCCGGCGGGGCCGGGCACGGGGCGGCGCTGCTCGGCTCGGCTCGGCTCGGCTCGGGCGGGCGCTGCGGGGCGGGCGCGGCGCTCCCGCTCCCCCCTGCGCGGGCCCCGGCGCGGAGCCGATCGCGCCCGGCGGAGCCCGAGCGGCGGAGTTACATTGTTGGAGTTTGCCACAACTCCGCGGCCTCCGCCGGTGCGGGGCCGCTGCGGGGCTGCAGCTTCGCCGCCGCCGCCTCCTCCTCCTCCTCCTCCTCCTCCTCCTCCTCCTCCTCCTCCTCCCCACCGTGGGTGTTTTTTTTCCCCTCCTCCCCCTCTCCCCCCCGCTCTGATTTCCCTCCCCTCCGCCCGCCCTGCCTGTGTGTTTTCGCCGCCGCGCTCGCCGAGCCCCTTGGCATGAGTTAAGCACCAGCCATGGACACCAAACACTTCCTGCCGCTGGGTGAGTTCTGTTCCGAGAGATTCTCCCTTCCTACCGCGGGGGGTGTGCGTGTTGGGGACGGGGGGGGGGGGGGGGTGTTTAAATACGATAAAATCAGCTCCTGACCTGCCTCCCCCCACCCCGTTCTCTCCTGCCCCTTCCCGCGGCGCGCACCGGGGGGCGGCGGGCGGGGGATGCGCTCGCCCCTTCCTCGGGGAGCGAGTGCGGGGCGGACGGGCCCCGGCCCAGCCCCTGCCCCCGGCCCCGCGTTCGAGTTGGTATTTTTGTTTTGTTTTGGTGGTTTGTTGTTTTTTGTTTTTTTTTTTTTCCCTCGCGGCGCAGCCCGGGGGGAAAACGGCGGGCCCCGGGCGGGGGAGCTGGGCCGGACCGAGCCCCGCTGAGCCCCGGCCGGGCAGCGGCCGCGGCCCCAGCGCCGCTTTCCAACGGGGCAGCGGCAGCCGGGAGAGCCCCCTCCCCGCCCGGGGCCGGCTCTGCGCAGGGCTGGGGCAGCGCGCAGCCTTTGCTTCCCCCTCTCGCCTTCCCTCTCGGTTTATTTTTCTCTTTAATTTTTTTTTTTTTTTTTTTTTTTTTTACTTTTCTCCTTTTTATTTTCCCCCCCCCCCTTCCCTCCCCTCCCTTTTCTCCCTCTCTCCCCGCGGCATCCGGGGCGCGCAGCCGGGCAGGGAGGCAGCGCCCGCGGGGACCCCGCACCGGCCCCTCCGCTCGCATCGACCCTCGCTGCCGGCGCCCAAACCCGCCGCGATTGGGACCCTCCTGCCTTTCTTTTTTTTTTTTTTTTTTTTTTTTTTTTATCCCTCCCCGGCTTCCTTTTAGTTACATTTTAAAACCTATTTCCAGCTGGAGTTTGCCATCGTTTCGGTGACTGAGTCAAGTCCTGGCTTGTAAGGGCGAATGCCTCCTGCGTCTCGCTTCCAGAAGTGATATTGCAGAGCTCAGTGCTCAGGGTGGGGGGAAGAAAAGTTTGAGCGAAGTCGCCTGGCGCCAAGTCCGGGCGAGGGGGAAGAGGGACGAATCCTGCCATCCCTGTCCCTGCTCAGCACGATGGCTCTCAGCCTCCGGCTGAGTGAGCCACGAGCAAGACCATCCTTCTGCCTTCTCTAGTCTTTAAATCTGTGCTCAGCCTCTCTAGTCTATGGTAGTGTGGTTTGTTTGTTTGTTTGTTTGTTTGTTTGTTTGTTTAAATGTGTTTTTTGATTTTGTTTAAGAATTGCAGCTTCAGTTGTTCTTTTCTAAGAGCAGAATAAATATAAACACCAACACAAGATCTCCAGCAGGCCCGGCCCTCAGGAGGGTTTCCAGGGCTGTGATGATCTGGGGGCTTTAGCAGGGAGACCCCCGACCCTGTTGGGTGGCAGGGCTTCGTTTGGCATCTTTGTGCTCCCAAAATCACAGTTTCACAGTGCTCCTCATTGGCTTGGCTGGGAGGTGGGAGATGCTGCTGGGTTGACTCACCCAGAGTTGCTGCTTGGGCCAAAAGCATCTCACCTGCAGTGGGTCCTGATTCCAAATCAAACTGGATCCAATGCAGGTGTTGGGGCTCATCACTAACACCCACCCCAGCAGAAGGTGCCTCTCTTGCCACACTGAAGGGGGTGGCTGTTTGGAGGATTCACTTTCCTTTGAAGCTGTTGTGGAAGATGGTCCAAACCTCTGTTATTCCGGGCAGGATCAGGCCCCTGTGTGTGTACCCACCTTTTCTGTCGGTCCTGAGCCCTCCTGTTACGCTGTAGATGCTAAATAATATGTTGTGTTATTAGTCAGGTTGGCTTTGAGGGGGAAGGTGGGGAGCATGTGTCACTGCTGGCTCAGGTAAGGGTTTTCATGCTGGTGCAGATGGAAAACAACTGATTTATCGTCTCATTTATAAATACGTGTACGGTGGGGAGAGGGTGGGTCTGTGCCACACACTGTGCAGCTCACCAGGAGCATCCAAAGGGAAAACAAGGCAGCCCAGGAGAGTGGGGCTGGGCGGGTTATAACTTTCCATCGCTGGCTCAGGAGAAAATCCAGCTGTCTGTGTGGGGTGTGTGGTCTGGGTTTGTGTCCGCTGCGTGTTGTGCTGCTCTGGGAGAGACTCCTAAACTTTATCCACTGGTCTTTGGTCACTGATTACTGACAAAAATCACTTTGGTTCTAAGGACAATGGGTTCTGCAGGGTTCGGAGGGGGAGATCTTGTTTGTGCTCTGGGCAGTGGAGGCAGGTTGGGTCTAAAAGCTTGTGAGCAGTTTGTGGGATTGAGGGGAGCCTCGAGGAATGTGATCAGAGACCTTCCCAGTGGAACCTAAGCAGAGCTGGAAGGGCCATGGGGTCTTGGTGCTTTTTGGAGGTGGGATGGTCCAAAACCTGTCAAGCCCTGACTTTGCAGAGTGCCCGGGTGTTTCACCAAGCCCATGCCATGGTTGGGAGCTGGCATTGGCAAGCCGAGGGGAGAAAAATAGCCAAGCTTGTGCAGTGTGTTTCCCTGCACACCAGTACAGGCCTGAGCTGGAGAACAAGAGCAACTGGGCCAAAATCCAACTCTGTTACTGTGCCCCCATCAAAATCTCATCTCAGTGTGGCCTGAGAAGGCCAACCTGGTGAGGTTCCTGGCCAAGTCCTGCCCGTGGTTAGACTCAGATAACCGTGCTGATGTCATGGGTGGAAGCGTGGCCAGCACTGGGCACTTTTAATAGTAGTATCTCATTTTCCTGCTCCTCTGGAGAGCTCCTGGCAGATGCCAGCCAGAGGCTCCCCATGAGGACAGTATGTCCCTGGGCATCTCCCAGGCTGGCTGCTGTCCCACTGCCAGGACAACCTGCAGCCTGGTTGTGGGGTCTGTGAGTGCAGATATCACCACAGCCCTGGTGAGGCTCATAAACACCTCAGGGTCCAGCAGATGCTGCCTTGGAGCTGCCTGGAACTACAGATCTGCCTTGACTGAGCTTAGCATCATCGGAGGTGTCCTGCTTTTGTTCTTCTGGGGGGATGTGTTCTGCTCTGTCTCCAGGAGGAGAAAAATCAAGAAAAATCTGTCATGCAAGTGCTTGTCAGGCTGCAGGGATCCACCTCTGCAGCCTGGTGGGGTCTGTGTGCTGAGGTCAGGCTTTGGGGGCTGATGTGCAAACCAAGGGACTTGGTTCTTCAGGTGGCTGCTTGTTCCTGAGGCTCTGACCGTAGCAATCCTCTTATTGCTTTGTTTTCTTCTTTTCCATTCCCTTAAGGAGGTGGTACCTCCTGGGGAGGAAAAAGGGGAGTGGGGGTGGGCCTGGGGAGCCCTCCCTTGAGGCTCAGCTCTGTGGGGGAAGAAACAGTTAATGGGTGTCCGAGGCTGGTGCTTCCCTCCCGGAGGTCAGTTCACCGGGTTGTAACCTCTTCCAGTCCATCTTCCCAGCCCTGCAGCCGTGCCAGGGGCGGCTGCAGCTGCTCAGGATGTGGGGTGAGAACTGGCCGTGCCGGGGCGGGAACGCCTCCGAGGAAAACAGCAAAAACAACCCCCCCCCCCTGTGTCCAGCCTGGGAGGGGACAGCCCTGAGTGTGGGGGCTGCCTCGGGTGGAAGAGAGCGTGGGAGTGGGAGTGTCCATCAGACACCTCCATCCTGCATCCCACATGTCCGGGGCGAGCCTGGATGCTGCGTGGAACCCAAGGCACATCAGCGGGAGCCTCTGTCTGGGTTGACACCTCCTCACCACGATCCTCATTTCTGCTCCGTGTAGCCTCAGAAATTTACAGCTGATGGGAAAATCCGTAGGGAGGAAAACTTCTGTAAGATGTAGGGAGGGTTGTGGTTTTTCTGAGCACCCCGGTGAGGAAGGAGGAATCCTCTGCCCCACGTCTGGAAGATGCTGGTTGGCTCCGTGGGGCTGTTGGGCTAAAGCAGGGCCTCAAAAGATAAAGTCTAGTTGTGTCCTGGTCTCTCTTGCTGAAGCCTTGTGTAGGGCTCGACCTCTCCCAGTTGACATATGCAAAATGGGCTGGGAAGGAATTTCTGCCTTTTTCAGAATCTGGGCTGTGACAGTGAAATAAATCCTCCAAGCGTCCCTGAGTTTACTCCACGTTATCCTGCTGGGTTGGGGAGAGCATTTGTGTTTCTCAAATTTAGGGCATTTTATTTATTTAAAAGAGAGCGGGGGAGAAAGCCGCAGAATTTGAGTTATTCATTGCAAATATTATTATTGGCATTTTGCTCCTGTTGAGAAAAAAAAAAAATCAAGGGGGCAATCAAAACATTTCACTGGAAAATACACCCTGGCTTCGTCCCACTCACATCTTGGAGGCGAAAATAAATATTTATTGAGAAATGGGTTAAAAACCTTTTTGTTGGAGCATTGTCTTCTGGGAGCAGGGGTGGATTGCCATATGCCAGAGCCCTGCCACCCAGCTGAATTGATTTTTTTTTTAGTTTTTTTTGCAGGATGGTTGAGAACAGAAACAAACAGAGGAACTGTGAGTGCTGGGGGGCAGGGGCTTAGGGTGTTCTTGGGTCCTGCCTCGTCCATAGGATGCTTGTTCCTGTGAGCATCCTGGTGCCTTTTGGGGGGATTGTGTGTGCTCAGGGTGTTCCCCAAGGCTCTTGGCTGCCTGAAATCACCATAAATATCCTGTGAGCCCACTGTGGTGAGACAGCAAGAGATGGTGGCCCTTGGCAGGGGGATTAACTGAGAGGATGGTGATGGAGCAAGGATGCCAAGGGACTCCCTGTGCCCCATCTGGGCTCCTCTCCATGGAGCTGTGCTGCTGGTGATAACCAAATCCGGGGATGCCTCAAATCACTGTGGGCCAAGTATTGCAGAGACCTTCCCTGCGAGCTGGGTAACCTAACTGGGCTCTAATTAATGCTGTTCTCTGGCTCTGATTCCCAGTGTCAGAGCCATGATCACCTCCCTTGGTGGGTGAAGGAGCTGGGTCTCTCCTCGCTCCAACCCCCAGAGTGAAGGGATGCTCCGTGGAGTGGAGGGATGCTCAGTGGTGCCGAGGGATGCTCGGCAGAGCGAGCACGCTGCCGGAGCAGGATCCACCCCA